ATTGAAATGTAGAAAAAATAATATGTTCAACATGCAAAACTCTTCGATTTTGTCATTAAATTTGATTTAATGGGTCAAACTTGAAAAAATATGTTGGATTAACTCTAATCAACTCGAGTTCTCCTGCCAACTCATATATTGGTTTATGGACTTTACTGGATTCAATAATATTTTTTTAATTATATGATAATCAAAATGTAAAGGTAAAATCAAAATCAACAAAATATTAAAAAATAAATAAAATAAAATAAAATAAAAACCTGATATTTAAAAAAAAATCAAAAAAAAAAATCAAGCTAGATATGAAGGTATGGGTGGTTAAGCAGCCCTAGTCCTTAAAACAATTTCTAAGCGCATGGGCTTGAGGAAAGCTCACGAGCCTAGGTCATACTGATTATTTTTTAGAATATTTTTATTTAATTATATAATTAAAAAATATGAAGGTTAATTCAAAATTAACTAAATACGAGATGATAAAACTAAAAAAAAAAAGTAAAAGAGAATCAGTAAAAACCCAATGTTTATGAATAAATTTGAAAAAAAATACATATACTTACACACACGCACATGTTAAGTCATGTGCGCGGGTCTGGGCTTTAAAAAAGCTTCAGCATATTGGCTCGTGACAAACCTATATGTTTGGGTTTTTTTTATATATAATGTTATACACTTTTTATTTTTTAAAAAATAATTAATGACTTCCACTTTATTAGATGAACGTTGTTGTAGTTAAAAAATAAAGGGGGGTGAGTTAAAAATTTATTTTCATATATAGCATCTCTAATACAACATGAAAACCTAAACAAACCATGTATAGTTTTCAAAACACTTCAAAAGCATATAAAAAACTAAAATTAACAAAAAAATAAAACAAAACCTAGTCTCATTTTTCAATATTGTTTATAAAAAAACCTATAAGTATTTAATTTTTTTTTATGAAATAGAACTCATTTACACTAATAACAACAAGTTTTTTGTACATAAAAGGATATCAAACCAAACATTTTGGTTCCCCTCATGGTTTTCAAGAGACTTGCTCTTTCTTCTCTCTAGGTAAAGAATTGAAATATAAATAAAAAATTTGTTTGACCTAATTTGAAATTGCAAGTAATATAAGTACCATAAAGATATAAAAGGGAAAGTATGAGGACAAAAAAAATAACTTTTCTTTGTTTTTTTGAAATTGCAAGTAATATTTGAAATGTCTGGTTTTTTTTTTTTCTTGACAAAAACCCAAGTCCTTTTATGAGAGATTTTAAAAGCACACCCTCCACGTCGATATTGATGATAGCCTGGTGTTTGAATCTAAAAATTTTTAAAATGAAACGAACAGTCTTATCCGCCGTAGAAATTTCTTGAAGCTATTTAGCGGTTTATAAAACTATTTATTATCTCTAAAAGAAGGCAACACATCATACATGGCTTTTATAAGGTAGCAGTTCAAATCTGCCAAATTATTGTTCGTTCGAGACACCTAAAAAGGAGATACTAGTTAAAATGTCACTGGTTTTTTTACCTGGGTAGAATAAATCTTTTATTGGCAAATAAAAATGAATATATAAATTTTTTCAACATATTTTTAATATAAAAAATTATAATTATAAATAAAATTTTTTTACATATATCTAATTAATTAAATAAATAATTATATATATCAGCAAACACACATAAAAAAATCATTAATAATAATTAAAAACTAAAGTAAAAAAATCAAAAGATGAATTTATATTAAAATATTTTATCTCGTGACACGAACTTAAAAATAATAATAAATAATTACAAGTCGAATTTCTTAATATTCATATCATACTCTTCATTTATTAGATAAAAAATTTAAATATTCATAAACTATAAATTGAGTTTCAGTTATTTATTATATATTATTATCTATTATCCAACAAAATATCTAATATATATTATTGTGTATATATGTATGTGTATTGAATAATAATATTGCACTATTACATGTATACATGTGTTTTTATGACTTTATTTATTTTTTATTTATTGCAAATTTGTAATATTTAAAATGAAATTTCTTTAATCATTAAATAAGAATATAACAACAAACATGTAAATAATCAAATAAAGTTTAGATTCCCAAATATAAATTTTCAAAAATCAACTCACAACTGTAATTTGATAAAATTATAGAATATTGGTGTGATTTTCCCTATTATTTAGCCTGCCAATAATATTTTTTACACAATAATATTTAGTTACGTGATTAAATGAATATTTTGGTTGAAAAAATCCTATAATTTGTTAAAGATACATATTAATGAAGTTTAGTGGTCAAAGTAAAAGGCATGCATCTTTTTTTTTTTTACACGCCCTTTGCTTTTCTTTTCTTTTTTCTTGTACTTCACTAATTACTTGATTTTCAATTTTTTCATAAATTATTATTATTTTTTTTATAAATTTATCATTGTTTCGAACTAATATTTGATTTTATGCTTAATTTTATAAATATTTATTTTTATTATTATATAATTAAGTAAAACATATTTTTTTAAAATAAAATTCTTAAATCTATTAGGGTTCATTACTTGAATTGCAAATTAGATAGATAAAGTCATGAAAACTCGATCTTATATGTTAATATCTTAACATTACAATAAAGGTTATCTTAATTATTATTTTAAAAGTCAAATTACATTTTTTATTTATAGTTTAAGTTGTATTTGAATCTGTCAAGTTGACTGGGTTTAATTAAAGCAACTCTCATATCATTTAAATTTAAATTCAGGTTAAATAAGAAGTTAAGTCAGAAAATTTTAAGATTAGCTTATTGAATCAAGTTTAATGATAATATCAAATAATTTCCCATAACTTGAATATATTTTCTTATGTTTAAACATGTATAACGCAATGAAAACATGTAAGTTAGTTTCTTATCAAGAATGTGTTTGAGATTATGTTAACGGTGATGATTTAAAGTATTTTTTATTTAAAAATATATCAAAATGATATGAAAATATAAACAAAATTTCATTTTAACAAATTTTTTCCAAAATTTTAAAAAATATGATTTTCACATCATTCTAGAGACATTCTAAAAAAAACAACACACTACAGCCTGATTTTTGTCTCAAGAGGTCATGTTTTCTTTCATTTTTTTTGTTGCTTTTATATTTATTAAATTAACTAAGTTATATTAAAATAACTTTAATATAATTTAAATTAAATCAAAAATTAAATATTTTTTTTAAAAAATTAACCCGTAAACTGAGTTTAATAATAAAACAAACAACTTCCTACAATCCAAACATGATTTTTTAACATTTAGTTTTATTTTTTTATTTGAGCTGCAACGCATCACGACCTTATAAACTAGTTTCTTACCAACTAAAGAAAACAACACACAATTCGTCCACCATGATAATTAATTTTGTTCAGCAGCCACAATAATCCCGGTGTTAATTATATAACTGATAATGCTGGTGACGTTTCAAGACATTATATTGAATGCTTACTTAAAGCAATAGCTTGACACAAGGATGCAGGCGACGCAATTATAAACCTCGAATTTGAATACCTGTTTATAATGGTTGTGGTTATTTTTTAATATTTTGTATATTAAAATATATTAAAATAATATTTTTTTAATTTTAAAAAATATTTTTTAGAATCAGAGTATTAAAATGATTCAAAATATATAAAAAAATATTTTTTAATAAAAAAAAGTTTTATCTTCAATCCACCTGCATATGTTTAATAACTTGATAAATGGATGCTGAACTATTTTATAAAAAAAACATAAAATATTGTACATCTCGGAGAAAAAATGAAAGAAAAGATGACATGGATTTAGAAATGAATGACAACAAACACAAGGAATTAAAAGCCCCTTGGTATTTTGAAAATTTATAGAAAAGAAACAAGCTAGTAAATGTTATTTAAAACGACGACGTAATTATTTTTCGTAATTACCTATCACCGTTAAATTAAATACTTCCACTTTAAAAGGCTTATTTTCTCTCTCTTACATAGACTAAAAACTAGAAAATCACTCTCACGCTTTACGTAGGAAACACTAACAAATAACAATCGTAACATGGGCATCAAACTCTAAATATAAATTTAAGGTTTATCTTATTAGATTATAAACATTATTTATAATTAAGAAGGAGTCGATATTAATTATCAAAAAGAAAAATATCATAAATTAAGTATTAACTAAAATTTACAAAGAAAAAATAGACGAAAAAGAGCATATCTAATATTAAAAAAATATAGATAATAAGCAGGGAATATATAATATACAGTAGCATATTTTATTATAAAAAATATCTCGAAATTAAATTCTTATTACATTTTTTTAATAGGATTTTGTGTTCTATAGATATGAATTTCATTATATTATTGATTTTTTAAAATGATAAACATTTTTGTTTTATAAAATCAAATACGTGCCTTTGAACAGAAGAATATTTTTATCCTAAATACATAAAAAAGAATATCCAAAATTCAATAAAATGACCTTCTAAGTAGTTTTTGAAAATAATTTTCTTAGTCGGCACCTGCAGTGTAATTTCTCATCTTTCTCTCCCCCCCCCTATAATCCTGGCTATGGAAACCGTTTTAAAGAGCGTTTAACTCAAGTTAAATTTATAATTAAATTAAATTAAATATTAAATTAATAAAATTTTATGGCACAACCAGATTTTAATAACATAATTGATCTAATTAAATATATATATATATTTAAAAGATAATAATAAATTATTATTTTAATAAAAATAATTAATTAATTTGATTCAATCATCCACTCATTAATCAAATGATTCAATAATCTAGATAATTTCCTAGATCGAATTTGCCCATTCTTGTAAAAAAATAACAGGAGTAAAGTAATTATTTTCCTACCATATCTACTATATTTTTCGTCAAATCCCCAGCACGACGCCGTTCTCTCAAACTACTAACTGTAAATAAAAGATTTATCAAGGGCAAGCATTCCGAAAAAACAAACTCTATAAATTCCACCCTTAATCTCGTTCTCCTTCCTCTCATAACGTTATCTAATAAAGCCACTACAGCAGCGACAAGCCCTACCTCCTCTCTTTCCTTTCACATGCAAATCAAATATCCATTCAAACCCTAATTCAAAACATTCTCTCACCGCCACCGCCGCTCATTTTCCGCCATATCCGCCTCTCATCGGAACTTTATCTCTCTCGATTTCCACAAAGAAACCCTAATTTTTGTATAACAAGTGCCAAGAAAACCGAAGTTTAATTTTAACGATTTGGTTTTGTAATCGATTTGTCGATAAGTATAAATTATCACTTAATAATTTTGTTTTTTTGTTAAATCTTAATTTTATATTTTACCTTGTAATTTATCTGATCTTTCATTTATTGAAACCCTAGGAATTTGTCTTCGTCGTCGTTCTTTGTCCATACGATTTTCACAAATTTCGAGTTTAGTCCCTTTCTGCGAATTTACAGTTTTGTCCCTAAGTTGGTAATCATGGTGGGTGGAGGAAGCAGGAGAGATGAGGGATCGTTGGTGATTAACAGCACGAACGTGTTTGCTGCGCTTGAGACATTGAGGAAGAAGAAGAAATCTGATAAGGAGCGTGTAGGTTCGAAGAGCGGGAAAGGGGGTTCTAAGAGTGGGAAAGAGCAGCAATCGAAGGAGCCTGATCCGGAAGTTTTTTGGGCCCCGGCAAAACTTACTGCTAAATCTTGGGCTGATGTTGACGACGAAGATGACGATGATTATTATGCTACGACGGCACCGCCTCTATCTGTTTGGGGGTCCTCGGACCAGCAGCAGAGTGAGGAGAAATCTGCCCATGTAGAGGTGAGAGGATGGATTTAAATGTTTTATGTATATGCACGTGTGGGTAATTATTGGTTTGGATTCAAGGTTCTTGATAATTTGAATGGTGATTGTTATGGCGTGGATGATAGATTGATATGTATCCTTGGCACGATTTTATTATGCTTAGGAGTTGTATGCCACATGTGATTGATTTATGTGCTATATTGACAGGGTGTTGCTATTAGTTTTGTTGATCCAATCCCATTTGCTATATTAGTCTGCGAGTGTGTAAGTTTTATTTGCAATGCTCAAGGTTTTTGTTGTAATGATTGGATTTTTGATTGTGTGTTGTACATACCGTGTGATTACATGGTGATCCTGACATGGTAATTACATATGGGCTGTTATGATTTTCTTTCCCAATTGGCGGGGTTCTATGTTTTATTTTTTTGCTTTTTGAAAGGAATAGAAAAGGTACATATGCAGAGAAAAAAAAAAAGACATGAATGCACTGTGGAAGACTAGCCATTATATCCTAAAATATGATTTCAACCTGAGGCTGGAGAGGAGTTCCAGAAAATTGATGGGAAGGCTGAATTATTGTGACAGCGCAAAACCTGGATCATTTTTTTTTTTTTTACTTGTGTCGCACTTGAACTGTTTTTGTTTTAAAATCTTGATAGGTTACTATTTATTTGTCTTCCACAATCCCCATAGAATAGAAAGAACTTTGCAAATGGTTTATGAAAACTTCAACATTTGCTGGCACGCACTGATTGCCTTTTTTTTTTTTGTGGGTTGCAGGAAAGCGAGAGCGAAGAAGATATTTTGGATGAAGGTGATGATGATGTAGAGGAAGAACATGACCATGAACCAGAGGCAGTACATCCTGAGCCAGTGGTGAAGAAGACCCCTGAAGTTCCTCTGCCACCCAAGGAGACAGAAAGACAACTTTCTAAGAAGGAAAGAAAGAAGAAGGAACTTGCAGAGCTTGAGGCCCTTCTTGCGGATTTTGGAGTTGCTCAGAAAGATAGCAATGGCCAAGATGAGTCACGTGGTAATTCCATTTATATGCCAAAAGCCCAAAAGTTTGTACATGGTGCCAATCAAGGATGTTTAATTGGTATAGAAGTTTAAAATCTGTTAATGCATTATGTTTCTTTAGATAATAGCAATGACCTAGACAAGCACAAGAAACTTGTTGTTAGCCGCCAAAGCTTCATCTTCCAAGGTCTCTGGTTGTTTGCATGCTAAAAGTGTTTATTCAACGCTCTCTTATTGTTTGAGCATTTTACTTTACTCATTCATTGATAGTATTCTTTGCTTCAATAATACATGTTGAAGTTGAAACGTGGATAGTTGGATCATGTTTGCTCTAGACAAGTCAAAATGTATAACCTAACCATTTAATGCATCGTCAGGTTTGCTGCAATTTAGCAGATAATCAATGTGCCTGTGCGCACTGCTTCCATGTCCCTCATGCTTAACTTTTGGCTTCAAATTGTTTCATAATTTTACCCTTCTACTTTGTATTGGTGTAGAGAGGTATTTTTCTTGTTTCTTCCAGTTTTTGCTAGGACCATGGAAGGGTGCGGTTGTTCCCTATTATTTTGTGCCAGTTGTTTAGCCTTAAATACGCTTCTGGTGTTGAATCTCCTCTGAAAAAGAGTTCTCTTTACTTGCATCTGCAGATGCTGCACAGGAGAAGAAAGATGGGGAGACTCATGAAGAGGGAGATAAGAAGGAAAATGTCGCTGGAGAGTCCAAAAACGCCAAGAAGAAGAAAAAGAAGGACAAGTCAGCAAAGGAGCCCCAAGATCAGCCCACCAATTCAGAAGCCAATAACAGGTCAGAAGAAGCTGCTGGAACGGAGCATGTGGAGGAGGATGCTTCTGCTGTTGACATGAAAGAACGACTAAAGAAGATGGCATCTGCAAAGAAGAAGAAGTCTAGTAAAGAGATGGATGGGGGTGCCAAAGCTGCTGCTCAAGAGGCTGCTGCAAGAAGTGCAAGGCTAGCTGCAGCCAAGAAGAAAGAGAAGAATCATTACAACCAGCAGCCAGTGCGGTAAAATGCCCAGATGGATGGACATATGTTTCTTGTTGTTCATATACCAATGCAAAATAAACAGTGGGCGCCAGGCTCTGGCTTTGTGAAAGGTGACTTTCTAGTTGTATTGCTTTGGACAGCAAAAAAAAAAAAAAAAAAAAAAAAGAAGCTTCCTCTTTGGCGTTTTGGATCTTATCTTTTGCTCTGATGTCATGGAAAACATAGTTTTGGCAGTTTTGTTAATTGAAATTCTTCACTGGAAGGGTAGTTGAACTTGAATTCTGTGTAATGCAGCCCTTTGAAATCTAAGTCTTTTCTTGTTGATGGATGAGCGCCAAGTGATTTACGGCTTATTTAAAAGTATGAAAATATATTTTGAATAGAGCATAGGTTTAAGGTGGTGAGATAAACTTGATATTTGCTAATTTGCTCTCAGCAAGCTGCATTTGTTAGTTTCTGTGATCCATTTTTGCTTCCTTCACTGGGGGTATGTATGCATTTGTCAAAACTTGCAAGGCTGGATCAGGTTCAGGTTGCTGGTGGGAGGTCTGGTAGAATGTTGGACTGTGTTGCTGCTCTGATGCAAATTAGATTCAAGCAAAGTTGGGTTGAAAAGAGAATAAGCTTGCGACGTGAACTTTACTAAAACTCAAGATGGCTTTTGCTTTACCTTGTCCAGCATCTAAAAAGTGGCACATATGCTTCTGATACCATGCATACAATCCAAGCGTGGTCAATAGCAGCAGTAAGTTATACGGCAAGTTCAATGGTATTTATGGAGTATCAAGGTGAAGTTTATGATACAATGGTAATGCTATTTTTATTTATCATCATCATCACGTAGTAAAGTAATTATTAAATCACAAAAAGATAGTTTTTTCCATGCAATTAGTGAAACTACTTAAAAGATATTGTATTTTTATTTATTACGGAGTGAATATCATTTTGTAATTCATGGTAACAAAGCATTTTTGAATTGTATTATAATATTAATAATCATCAAATAATTAGTTAAATTATTAATCAATAAAACAAATTATTATAACACGATATAAAAAATATTTAATAGTCTATATCTTAAAAGCACTATAATTACAACGTTTTTAATTAAAAGCACTATAATTATATCATAATATAATAATAACATCTTCAAATCATCAAAGGTTTTCATCTATCATTGTCAATATCCAATCTTTTGTTTTGGTTGGAAATTGAAAGTTTGTGCTCTCGCAACAAAACAAAATTAGAAACTTTGCATATTTTAAAAGAAAATCTGTGCAAAGAAAAATAGAACGCGGGAGGATGATTGACAATACTGAAATTCTCTCTTCCGTTCTTTCGTTCAAATTACTTAGAAAACAAATTTTAGAGTTAATCTTTAATTCGCCCCTGTCTTCATCTATATTTTCATTTTCTAGAAGCGGGTTTTGATTATTTTTTTGGTTTATTTTAGGATTGGAATGCCTAGTCAAACTGCACTATGATGATTTATCAGAGGGAGTATTTGAAATTGTAGCGATAATTATTTTTTAAAATATTTTTTATTAAAAATATATTTTTAACATGTTAAAATAATTTAAATAAAAAAATTTATAATTTTTTTTTTAAATTAGCTACCGCACTATAGAAGTTTCTTGGGCTCCATCAAATGAGTTACCATTCTGCCAAGAAACTGCTTAAAAGAAGATAATGAGCTTAAAATTTAACAGCCCGTTTCTCGGGATTCCGGTTATTCCCCGTTAAATGGTCGGAACCGCCCCAATTCTCTGTATTCGGGAACAGGGCAGTTATCGAAAAGAGGTTTTCGGGAATGTATTTGTATGAAAAAACATAGTGTTTGGGTTGCTCAAGCTATTAGGTTCTCGCATTTTTGTGGAAAGGATATTGAGCTATCGAGGAATGCAAATGGGTTGAGGGTGGAATGTGTGAAAGAGTCGTTTGTGCAAAGTAAGGCTCTGTGTGGAAAGGTTTGAAATCCAAAAGGTGTTCTAACATTTGAAAATGGTGATGTTGCAGCTCAAGTGAGTAACTATCCTCTTGTAGTTAAATATTTCTCATGCAGTAGTTCCGCTCTGTTTTCTTTAGTTTGTCGCTGGTTTTTTCACACAATTATGTTGACATTGATCTTTCCGATTTCAGGTGAGGCTTAAGCGAGATCATTTAAATATAGCAAAATTTGAGCCCGAGCATGGATTAGATCCAATGCTAGACTTGGTTTTGGTTGGATCGGAGCTTCAATTGAAGATTCAAAGCTGTGCCAGCAATTGACAGGACAAACTGATCCCATGTTCCGTAGAACAAGATGCCCTCTTACCAACTGAGGTAACATGTGAATTTTCTCATCCACTCTGTCAACCACTACAGTCTACCGATGAGCTTGGACGTATCAGAATGTCCATGGTTGAAAGGTCTAGATACTGTAATTGTGAATGGATGGATCATATACATCTCACATGTTATCCATTGTTTTTTTCATTTATTATTAACTAGTAATGTAGGAAGAGATCGAGAATAGCTAGCATTTTATATGTAATCTATGCATGCATGTCCATGCGCGCGCGCGCATCATATGCCTGTTATCCAGGGTCTTGTTTGCTGTTGCAAGTTGTTGATTGAAATGTTTTCTCGAGGCAATCTAGTGTTATTTTTCCTTTCACACAGGCTGCTGGAGCATTCGAGAGTCTATTGGCAGAGTCCATATTGGAGGGTGATGGCTAGCTTGCATTTAAGAAGCTTGCAACTGCAACACTTGAACAATTGACGCCAAGAATAGAAGGGAAGGGAGGCCACGCCGGATGGAGGCTAGTCTACGCCCCGGATTCCTAGTTTACTTTCTGTTGATCCTACAATTGATCCTCTTAAATCTCTGGCCAATATTATTTCATTTGGTTCGGAGGTTGAGGCTTAGCTTGGGAAACGTCTTCAGGTTATCCCAGTCCTCTTACCCCCTCTACTTATATATTAAAAAAGCTTTTCAATAATCTCTTTTGGATTGCTATTCGATCATGTAATAAGTAATAATGAGAATGAAAGAGGCTCAAAAAGGTTACCTGTTCATTTGGATGTGGTTTTGAGATGCCCCAGCTTGGTCCTTATTTGAAGACTATTGTTTTGGTCCTTTATTAATGGCCATCTAATATCTAAAAGTCATGAAAGCATTCGTCTTGTTCTTTCTACTTTTTTCAGGCCTCCGTTGTAAGGCAGATGAAGGCCTCCGAAATGGCTACGCAATGGACCCTGCTCTACCATCTTGCCAGCCGTTTGCGAGTGCTCCTACAATCTGCTCCTTCCGAACGGCTCCTTTTTGAATATTATGTTAAGCAGTTACTAAAAAAATCAATGAAATCAAATCTAGGCACGATCGAGATTATTGACGAACAAATGTTCTTGGGCTGTCGATATTAGTTCTGTCGAAAGACTTGAAAAGTGACGTGCATGAATGCAATGTCTATGGCTATTTTTCTGGATCAACGTTGTCATTTTCTTCTTTTTGAGGGCTCTGTGCTTTCCCCCTTTCGATGAAATTCCATGGTGTTTTACGATGCTTATCAATAGCAACCTCTAGTACAGCATCCGACTGAATGTCACATAATCATTCCTCCCAGGACAGATGAACCTATTTAGTTAGGTGACGTTAATCCCACAGAGATAATAAAACCCAGTTTGTGATTATGAATTCAACAAAATCATGCAACGAAAGAAAAATACAGATGACTAAATTTTCCCTGAACTTTACACTTGCTGAATTGACAAGAAAAAAGGAGTGAGATATTATAAATGAATATAAGATGAAAGCTTGTCACCAAAATCTCCATGGATCCTTGTATGGAGGTACATAGTCCCCTGTGGGAGGGAGAAGGCGGAAAGAGGCCACAACTTTTTCCAAGTAGGGCCCCATCTGCAGCACAGGAAATGATATCTTGTTTAGGCTTATTTCAATGAATAAACCAATACAGGCATGTATCTGCAGAATGACGAGTTCAACTCAATACAGACACAAGAGAGCTGTATACCTTGTCCCACTGCTTGCTTAGAGTTGAAGCACTTAGAGAGTACAAATACCCTGCAATTGAGTTGAACTGTAAGTTCGGAAAAAAAGTAGAACCATGAAATATACTCAAGATTTCAAACAAGAAGAAGAAATGACGTGGATACAGTTTCTCCTGGTGAATAGTCATCAATTGACATTTAGTGTTATTGAGCGGAGAAAAGAAACTAGTATTGGAATATATTTTCATGCAACTGTTTGCTTTAAAAAAAAAGGCCCCCTACCATCTCGTTCAGCTGTTGAAGCAATGTAGCGTCGGAAAAGATTTGATTCTTGAGCCTACAAATTCCCATGCAAACTATCAACAACAGAGAGCTGTAGCAGATCTTTCAAAAGAATCCTGCTAAGGAAGGGAGAACTTACATTTTTGGTGGGCGACTTGCGTACAATATATTCATAAAACCAGTATGGCTCACCATCAATCTGGAAAAAAAAAAATGCCACATAACTCGTGCAGCTATACAAGATAAAACATAAATGGAAATACAGGAATATATGTTTTTGTATGTAGCATTCCCAATATGGAATTCTACAAAATACAAAAAGGTTTCAAAATTTACTTCATTAGCATGTGCATCAAGAATTGAACTCTCAGACAAACGTTGAGTTGAAGTGACTCGCTGCAAAAGAAATAATGAAGCATGTTAAACCAGCATTACTTCATTCAAGGAGTTAAGCTTTCAGAAGAAATGGAGTCCAAGAAGCACAAAGAGAGGTCATGGCCAGTCCCGTCCAGGATGACAAGGGTTCTCAGATAACAACCCTGTTCACCAAGAAAGCCTCTCTATACGATTCAACTGAAATCTAGTGTTGGCTCTATCATCTATGATCTGACAAATCTCTACAGATACAATTTTTAGTCATTTTTTTCCTGCAAATACATCTATGGACCCATGTTTGCAGTGCAATGAATTTCTAAGGTTGCGAGGACAGTGGAAATTATTTTGTAGAACTCATTTTCGCACCAATTCAGGTCTTGTGTGAGATGTATTATAAGAAAAAAATTATCATTTAATACAAGATTCAAACTTATGTTTTAATTCTGCACCTATCCTGTTTTTGTCAGTGGTCCGGAAAATCCATCAGCTATTTTTGTCAAACTGAGGGCCTCTTAAATCTTAGTAAGAGATGCTAAGACATGTTACCAGTGAAGACTTGTCAGACAAAACAGAATCAGCAACATCTTTTGCAGCCCAGGTACTCTTGTCTTTAGATTTTACAAACTGAAGATTTGGGGGACCTATCTGAATCAAAGTAATAAAATCATAATCCTTGAAAAAAACAACCTCATCAGACATTGCGTTTAGCTAGAATAAGGTCACATGGAATTACTACCGAAACAGAGAGGATGAGGTTATCAATGATGTCAACACGCTCGGACACAATGCGCAGGCGTGCATCAGCTGTAACAAGTTCAAAACAATATAAGCAGGAATTCATATGGTTTTTAAAAGGGCATGTAATAGTTCATGTTTCTCTCATCCCTCATATAGAAAATTAACTGAACTTACGGGACAGTGGTGCAGCTGATGAATAGCGTTCAGGTTTTCTGGATTCCACCCTTTAATAAGCAAATCACTAATAGAGTTATGTTCCCATAATTTCCAAGGACACACCATAGCAATAAAGAGAAGCAAAATTGCAGACAGAACACAGAATAAATGTAGTAGTAAGACTTATCAACATTTTGAACACATTTGAATTATGGAATTACAGTTAAAGAGAGAGACCCAATTAAAATGGCTCCCACTCAGAGTGAACTTGGCAGCAAAACTGTTCGCTGGGGAACATTTTTCTAGATACAGTCCAATTTTTTCAGGCATATGAATGTCTATGGATGCTCAATTCCTTTATTAATATATTCCAATTCACATTTGCCTCCAGCAACATAATCATCCAATTCATGAAAAAATACTTCTTCACTTGGAATTGCAGTCAAAACACACAGATAAAAGAATACATATTAAACAACACGCAGACCTAATGCACTGCTTCAGACTATACTGAATAGCAGTTGGATTCAAACACCTACCATTTGAAGAGGAACTTCTTAGATGGCAATTCCACTGGATATGAATAAGTATAGGCGTTTATTTCATCAACCACTGAAGCCATTTTCAGATCTTCCTCAGCAAGTATCCCTATAAAGAACTAGAAAAATCAATGAAATTCAAGCATTTTCAAGGTATTATTTATGTTTCACCAGTCCAAAGCAAGCACAACAAGAAAGGCAGTGTATCAGCTCTTGCTACACCACTCGAATCATAAAATCAATAAACTCAAACAAAAAGATCAAGCTTTCAATGAAGCTCAAGCTTACCTGAAGATGGGAAGGCAATGGATAATGAAGAAGAGAGACCAAAAAGCACCAAGTCCCTTCTACAAAACCCATTTTTTAAACTGGGATCTGAAGAGGAACAAGCACATGAACATGCCATAATCTTCTCTTTTAATTTACATTTCTTCTGGCTTAACAAGATCCTACTTTGGTTCCTGAAATGAAAACCACATCAAAACATAGCCCATGTTAAAGAACCATAGAGAAAGACATGGGTGGTGTAGAATTGAGAACAGCACCTAAAGAAAGGATTGTGGTGATGGGTTGTGAAGTGTGAAGGAGAACAAAGAAGAGCCATTGCCATTGCCGTGGTCTCTTCCTTCTTCCACTGTTATAAGCTTACCTCATCCACTTCACGTTTCAGTTTCCTCTTTATAAACTGGAAAGTTAACTGTAAACCAGTCCTCCAATTGTGAAAAATACTTTTATCAGTATAGAAACTATAAACGTGCGCAATTGTAAACCCAACTATTACTGAAATTACAATCTAGTCCTCAAGATGTTATAACGGTGAGGAAAAACCACAAATTTCATGAACCCAACATATAATTGCATATAATCTCATTGAAATCCAAATATTTTTTCGGTAAAAAGTATTATTTAAAATTCTTTAGTATTTTCTATCATTCAAAAAATATTTTTTTATTTTTAATTTTATGTTGAAGCAGATAAAAGAAAAACAAGAAAACAAGAAAGAAAAATAAAAAATGATGAGTTCTATATTGGTTTATCAATAGTTTTTTTAGATAAAAGTATATCATATTATTTTTTTAATAAAAATACAAAAAATAATTAAATATTTTTTAACTTTAAGTTTTTTTAAGCCCAAAATCTATAGCATCTTTAAAGATTATATTACGAAGATTATTCTAATTTAATATTTGTTCCAAGATTTTCAATGTTTAAATTATCTACAAATAGGAGATTTAATCACCTTAGCATCTGAAGTTGGTTTGCTTTCTTATATAGGAATCAACAAACCTATCATTCATAGATTAAGAGTAAATTAGTGGAACATAACGATGGAATTGATTGGTAGGCTAGTGATACTTAAAAGGTGAAAAACAACTAATTTTTAGTTTTAAGGATTCAATTGAGATACATCCAATACTTTAGTAACCAATTCGTAGTTAGCCCTAAATTAAGTGGCGAAACACTGAATTACTAAATTAACCAATCAAAGCGCTCTTCATTTAGCTAATTTACTTGATAAAACGACACCCTTTCCTCTCTGCCGCTAAACAACTGATGGCGTTTGAAAAGTGGAGACCTTGCAACGGTTACAAAATAACGGAAGCTAAACGGACCTCAAAATGTCATCTTGAAAAAATTGAAACCTTTATTAAGAAGGAGCTCGCTGATTCTTCTCTCTCAATCATTTCTCTCTTTCTCTTTCATCTCAAAACAAAAAATTAGGGTTTCTTTTCTTCCAATATACTTTCCAATTTTGCTTCCGCGATCGATTATTCCAGGTAAACTATCTAAAATTTATCTCCTTAATCATTGTGGTTGACGTCAAGATCATCAATTCGATATTTTTCTTGCTGAACTCCGCTTTGTTTTGTTCTTTCTTAATTTTGATTTTTATATATTTATTTCTAATGGTATTTTTTTTGTGTTGATGTTTTATTTGTATTTTTTTTTATCTAATTGATTTAGGTAAAAAGTAGTTGAAATTCGCTTATTCAAAATGAAGTAATTAGGTATGGTTGTGTTAGTTATCTATCTTAATTGTCGTTGTGATCCTTAACTTTTCTTTTATTTATTTTTTTGAACGAGATCCTCCTTGTTTTGTTTTATTTCTTTATGGAAAGATTTTATGAGCTCTTTTTCGTGTGATGTACCGTATTTGATCGTAAGGGTTTTGTTTGATTTTTTTTAGGTTTTGAATCAAGCAGAAATTTCTTGATAATGGCGGGTTTTTTTATTTGTTGTTATGTACAGGTGTGATTTGCATACTGAAGGAAATGAAGCCCGGAGGATTCTCTACTTTGAACCCATATGCAGCAGCGTATATTCCCCTTTCTAAAAGGGATTCAGCTGATAGAATTGAAAATCTAGGATGGACTGTGCAGGGTGGGAATCCAAATGTGTGGTATGGGTCTGCCAAGCATAATGCACAGATTAGGCAAAATGATAAAGGGCCGATTTCTGTTCCTGAAATGTCTATGCTGAAGAGTCAATCTGGGTATGGTTCTTATGGCTCGTCATCACAGAATTCATATGAGATGTCAGGGAAGCAGATCGTGGATGAAGAATTTGAAATGGACTTGGAATATCTTCGGATCAATTTTCCTGGCATATCTGATGAGTCCCTCACTGGTGTCTATATGGCTAACAAAGGTGACGTGGATGGTGCTATTGACATGTTAAACCAACTTGAGGTAAATTTTCTTACAAACTGTTTCGTGGTATACAGATTTGTTTATCATGTTGATTGAAGACATAAAAACTGGAGAGGAATGGAATGAGGCCAATTTAATGTGTTAAATTTGTGTTTTGTGTGTGCTATGAGCCATTTTGTGTTGCTCTAATTCCTTTTGTTGCTCTTCTTTCTCGTTCTTTATCTTTTTTTCATGTTGCATTATATATTTGGTTAACTCTAGACTTCTTTCCCTTTTTTCCTCTCTCTTCTGCTCTGATGTCAGTGCTTGGTTGTAATTTTCGCAAGAATTATTTGATTTGTTATGATTTTAGATTGATCACAAGTTTAGTTTGCTTTCTTCACTATTTCATAAATGTGAGTTGATAAAATACCAGGGTGAGTGAAATGTTCTGTCTTCTATGTTAGAGTGAAATGCAAGGAGAAAACTTTTCTGGTGGAAAATACACGATTTGCTTTATGTGCAAAGTTAGTGGGATTATCTTATATGCACTTGCTTTACTCGGCTTACATTTCTGAATTCGGAGTGAAGGATTTCAAAATGTCTAGTCTGCATGTTCATTAACTTGAGGGGTTGTCCCTTGTTTTGGTGAAAGTTAGATGCACATTTACATATACAGAATCTCCTGTAAATTGGTCTAAATTCGTTGAATTTTGCATATTTATTTTGGTTTACTGTTTTGATCATTGAGAGTTAAGTGGTGAACTACAAGGCAGCTTTTGGCCCATGCTATATAACCTGCTGATAATGTGATTTTTTGACAATTCCAGTATGCTGAAAAAGAACATCGTAGAAATTGCATTTTGGATCAGTATTTTGGTTTTCTAAATTTGATTCCTACCTCATTTCATCTTTCCACTTTTTGGGTCACCCTAATATATTGGTTCTCATGCAGTTTGACACTCTCGAGTCTTCTGGAAACCTTCCAGACACCTTGGATATTGGGGATGTTTATGAACCCGGGCCTTCAGCTGAGGCTTCATCTGCGAAACCAAAGACTATTGTGGATGAAGCCAGTCCCTCATCTGGCTCCTCAGCCCCGGACACAGCGGTTGCCACATGATTGACTTGTGATCTATTCAGTTGTTTTCTTTGGCCTTTCTTTTTGGTTTTCTGAAAGAAAAGTATATGATTAGGGCATCTTTCTTTTGAGATGGGAGACATGCATTTAACATAATGGCTTGGTTGTGGGTGTATAGTCCTCAGATAGGTGCTTCTTCCAAATATCCCCTTTTTTTTCTCTGGGTTCTGCTATCAATTGAAGGCCCCTTGAGCGGTTTCACAAATTGCAGGTTTCTGGAATTGAAGTGATATATGCTTCTTGACAATATCTGTTATTTTGAATTAGTATGCTATATGGTGTAAAGATCACCCTGATGTCAAAATGGTTTGGGGTTGCATGTAAAGCTTGATTATATGATGGTTTGGCAGCTTTTTATACTGTTCAAGTTATACTGTTACAATGGCTCCCCACTCTTCTTTGCCTCCATTTGCATTGGTGGGATTAGATTACTTTTAAGAGAGGTTGATACCCTTTCATGTCAAAAAATGCCGGGTGAGTCTTTTTAATGAATTTTGCTAGCAATTAAAACGAAGGAGATGTTTGTTGTTTCATTGGATTGCTTGTTGACGGAGGAAGTCAACAAGATCTTCTCATTTACAAGGAGAAATGATGTTCATTTGTTTTATCCGGTGAACTTGCTTTGTGAATACTGGAGTCTTTCGGGCATGAAAAAAAGAAGAGTGGAGTTAGTCATTTGATGGTAAAGGCCCACCGTCTAACTTTGATCACCGTCTAACTTTGATAATTATTGATGATATTTTTTTTAAATATAAAAATATAAAAATAATAAATAATCTATTACAATTGGAATCGAATAATAAAAAAATTATTTATATAAATTATAAATAATAATAATAATAATAATAATGAGTCAAAGAAGACTTTAAAATGTAAAATTAATGTGAAGATTAAATAATGATAAAAATTATTGTTAAAATTAAAGGATTTACTAATAATATTTTAAATAAGTATAATATAAATTTTTTTTATTACTCAACTGAAAATAACACATAAAGAAATAATACATAAAGGATGTTCTAATTAGATAATCTATCATTAATAAATCATTATAAATTATTAATATAGTCATATTAATTATTTTATTTAAGTAACACTAAGTTTTTAAATATTGTTAGGAATTCATGATACTAACTTATGTTAACAATAAATCAAGTTTTTTTCGTAACACAGGTATAGGTTATACCATACGGTTAGTTATAAAAGTGTTGAGTATTTGTTGTATCAAGTATTATACAATATAAATTTAGATTAATCATTTAACAAGTAAGACATTAAAAATTAATAAGATAAAAATGATAAGACATGTTAATAGCAAGTTGTTTAAAATATAATTATTGAAGTTCATATTCAATTTATATTATATTTATCCTGACACCAATAGTGAAATATTTTTACCTTGACATAATAAATTTAACTAAACATAATGAAGAAGAGAAATATAAATAAAATAAAAGGAGAACATGATTATATATGTATAATAAAGAAAATGAAAAGCATAAACAAGAGATTGATGGAAAAAAACTTAAATATTATAAAAATATATAAAAAAAGAAGCAAGAATATAATCATAATCTGAAAACTAAGATGTTTAAATGCATGAGAAATACCTTCTTTTATAAGCCAAAATTCAGAACTATTGATTTGATGACTAATTGTTGAGTGGGTAACCACTTCTTGACTTTGTAACAATCCTTATCTTCTTATCTGAATAAAACTTCATTGATAATGTTGGAATTTGAATATATAGTCTTCATGAAAGTTCTGGAAAATTATTATAGCTTTCCAACATAAAAAAGAATCGATACATTTGGACTTCTAAAACTTGAAATATGAACTAAACACTGAACAATATTTGGGATATAGGATATATTCAAACTTCTCTTTTGATACTAAAATTTAAACTTCTAATATAATTAAAATTTCCAATATTAGAAAGACACAAATTTAGTTGATAAAACTACTCCCACTTAATAGTATATCAAGTAATGAAATTCAAATGTCATCGAAGATCATAATTGAAACAAGAAGGGTTTAGAAGAAAAGAGATGGAAGGTGTTGTTTATCAACCATGAAAAAATTGCAAGCAATGCCTAAAATACATAAATTATATATTTTACTTCATGTAAATTCATCAATGTTCAATTTGGCCCTTATATGTTATTTGTTTTTCAATAATTACTTTATGAATTATAAGAATTTCAATATAGCACTTAATCTTTAAATAGCTATGGTAGCTTCTCTTTTTCCAACTTTGGAATATCATAACTAATCCATAATAATTGAAGATTTGGCTAACCAACTCTTCAATCAACCATATGGCTTGTTTAATTTTGAGTTTTATAAAGCTTATATTTAATTTCACTTTAAACTATTTATAGATGATAATTTGGATATATTATTTAGTATAGTAGACAATTACAATCAACTTATAATAAGATTATTGTAAAGGAGAAAAAATAAAGAGAGTTCCATTCATACATATATAGAACATGCTATAATATTTCAAAAAATACAAAAAGTAATACCACAACTAGTTGCCTTTAGCTATTTAATGAAAAAGGACCTAATTGAATTTTATTTCAAAGATCTAAGATTGATGCTAGAAAATCTGAACTCTAAGAATTGAAGCAGGAATTATGGAATCAGTACGGACTAGAATATATTTTAGACTATCAAAAAAAGAAGGCTAGGAGAATTTTTTTTGGATCAATTTTGCAATTAACACCTAAAATATAATTAAATACCAAAATAACACAAGACAATCCATTTCTCATCAATATAATGGTAGATATATAAATTCATAGCAAATTAATTTAATTCCAAAAAAATATTAAATTCATCAACTTAACAACAATTCAATAAAACATCTAATTTATCATAATTCAATAACATTTATATTTTATTGAATGAACGTGTGTATATTTAACTACATTAGCAGTCGATTCTAACAATATATATAAAATTTTAAATTTGATAACTTAACCTAAATTAAACACAATATATGATTAGTTGAAATAATTAATTTATTATTAATTTAACTTATTTTCATGTTTAACTACATTAAATAAACTATATTGAATGTATTTTTAATTAATTTATCATTGATTTACAAAAATTCACTAGAAATCATAAATTGAATCCAAGTAATTATTTGATTTTAACCAAACTAAATATAAATTAATAGCAATATAGTATATTTACTTTATTAATAGAATTATAAGAATAGTTAGGACACCGGCAATGGCTGCTAAGAAAATGGTGGATTTTCAATAAAAAAAAACATAGGAAAATACTTAGTTTAATTTTTAATTGATTTAAAAATAAAATTTAAGTGTTCAACGGGGTTTTTAAAAGAAAAGTAATAGCATAGTAGTTTTTTCCATGTTAAAAAAATAATATTATATATTTAATCTAATCTTTAATTTGAATTTTAATTAATATCCCACTTCAAAAATACAACAAAATTACATGTCATTTCTCTTCTTTTTTTTGGTTCAAGCGGTGTCATTCCGTTAAATTACTGAGTTTATTGTGCTAATCAAGACCAAACACCAAAACATGCACGGCCGTTTTTCATTACAGATGTTCCGTTACTTTCGGTTATTAAAATCCTCCATGACCATCAGACACAACAAATGGTCCAAAGACCTTTGCCAAAAAGATTCAGCTTCTTCTTCTCTGTATCCACAAAGACACAAGGCTAAAATCTTGCTACACATTTTCTCTTACTGTCAAATAATTTGACAATGCTGTTGTTAATATAGTTCAAAGAAAGATTTCTTTGGGTTTTTTTCTCTTTTTTTTTGGAGTAGAAGTAGTTTAGATGGATATACAGTTTGATTAAAGGAATGGTTTTGGTGATCCGGGCATGGGGTAAAAAGATCGGTGATTAGACCTAGGAGGTGATATAGGTAGATTTTTTGATTGTTTTGGAGAAAAGATTGCTGGGTTACTGAAAGAAGAAAATGGGGGTTGATTACTATAACATATTGAAGGTTAACAGGAATGCAACAGATGATGATCTAAAGAAGGCATATAGAAGATTGGCAATGAAATGGCATCCTGATAAGAACCCCACTACCAAGAAGGAAGCTGAAGCCAAATTCAAGGAGATCTTCGAGGCTTATGAGGCATGTTTGATTTTTCTTTCCCTTGAAATTCTATTTTGTACTATTTATTGTGCTTTAAAAAAAAATCTGGGATCTTTTTACTTTGTGTTTATCTGGAATCCAACGTGAAATTTAGGATTCATGGTTACTGTTGTGGAATGGTGAGAGAGAAGAATCGAATACGTACATGCATATGTATGAATGCATGCATGTATGTTTAAATCCAAATCTTTTGAGATTTATACATTATGTATTTTCTTGTTATCGCGTGCTGTATTCCAAAGAAACTAGACTCAAAAAAGAAATGTACTGGAAGAGAAGAATCAAATATGTATGGATATTGATTTAAATTGCTTCAAAATATATGCATCATTTGCTTGTTAAATTTTTTTGCCAAGATAAGTACTTGATAATTTCACTTACTTGGGAAATTGTAGCATTGGCTTTTGTGTTTATTGCATTGGATTGCTTTTGGACTCATGATAATAAAGACAAAAAATTCAAGTCAAGGACAGTGAATTACTATTTGTGGTTACATTGCCTGGGATTTTGATATATTTGTGAATTCAGGTCTTGAGTGACCCCCAAAAAAGAGCAATTTATGACCAGTGTGGTGAAGAAGGATTAAAAGAGGCACCACCATCTGGCGGTGGTGGCTTCCCTTTCGGAAATGGTAGTGGTGGTGGGTCAAATGGTTTCAATCCTAGGAAGGCAGAGGATATCTTTGCGGAAATCTTTGGAAGCAGTCCTTTTGGATTTGGATTAACAGGACCTGGTAAATCCATGAGGTTCCAGTCGGATGGAGGGTTGTTTGGTGGATTTAGCAGTAGTGATGCTCCTTTTCGAACATTCAGTGAGGGGACCGTGCCAAGGAAACCACCACCAGTAGAGAGCAAATTGCCTTGCAGCCTCGAGGAACTGTATACCGGATCAACAAGGAAAATGAAGATATCAAGAACTGTAGTTGATACCCATGGGTATGTTTATTTATTTCTCTAACCAAGCACATTCAGTTACCCTCCTTTTCTTTCCATTTGGTGTCTTGATATGTTGTTCAAAATCAACTTCTTTGACCTGGTGGATGAATCATATTCCTTGCGTGCTAAATGGTTGTGGATAGTGTGATGCTTGATTAATTACTTGGCTAGGAGCCTTGCCAAAACCTTTGACCATTGTTTGCGTACAATTATCTGCAAATTCTTCTACCATGAAAAACGTTGTCATGATTTGCCTCATATACATGAAAAGATTGCTTGATCAGATTATTCTATTTGCCTCCGTAGATTCTGAACATCTTGATTACTCAAACTTGCTTTATGCTCATACTACCCCTGGTCTTTGTATGCTGCTGATGTTGTGTCTTTTTCACACACGAATCCCCATTATAGAACTAGAATTGCAACAACCTTTTTTTTTTTTATCTGATTGTAATTGAATATGAAACTCCACAGGCGACAAGTGCAAGAAACAGAGATATTAACCATTGATGTGAAGCCAGGGTGGAAGAAGGGAACAAAGATTACATTCCCAGATAAAGGAAATGAACGGCAGAATCAGCTTCCAGCAGATCTTGTGTTTATAATTGATGAGAAACCTCAGACCACATACAAGAGAGATGGAAATGATCTTATCATCAACCATAAGGTGACCCTAGCAGAAGCACTAGGAGGGACAACCGTAAACCTAACCACACTTGACAGCCGGAATCTATCAATTCCTGTACATGATATCGTGAGCCCTGGCTATGAGCTTGTTGTGGCCATGGAAGGTATGCCAATAGCAAAGGAGCCAGGTAATTGGGGCGATTTGAGGATCAAATTTGAAGTGAAGTTCCCAACAAGATTAGCACCAGAACAACGAGCAGGACTCAAGCGTGTATTAGGGGGTTAAAGATTGATCAAATTTATGTACTAGTAGCCATTATGTTGAGCTAAATGCTGAAGCCAAATGCTGTTTCCATTTGCACGGGTTGTCTTTTTGCTCTCCTTGTATTTATAGAGCCTTTGAATCAACACCTATAGGAACCCAGTAGAAGTACTATAATTATTACGGTCCTTTTCAGTCATTACTGGCTGGTCCATGCAACTGATTCTGTATTTTTTTTTTTTTAATGACAGAAGAAGGAGTATACCTACATGTATCATATTGTTTCTCCTTGTATTCCTTCACTGGACGACCGCATTATGTATTTTTCTTTTGCAGTTTTGCCTTTCCTTTTTGTGTTTGCAAATCCTTCTGCTGGGTGATTCTCTTCCAACAAGGAGGACGACAAAGTGGTCCCAATATAATGTTAGTATTTATGATTTTAATCTTTAATGTGGGAAAACTCTTCGTATCGTCCTAAGCTTTCCAGAAGGCTAGCAGTTTCGTTGTTGCTCCTTTGTTTACCGCAACAGTCTTAATGGAATCTTTCAGAAAAAGGCATGGGTTCTGCTTTTGCACCACCATCTCCTACTTTAAGCGCATCTCCTTCATATGCAGTGATAATCTTATGTCGAAGTAAACCAAATTCAGTTCTGAAAGATTAGGGAGAATTACGGACGTTGATCATCCTTTACAGTCAACGTTTACTAAACAGTTCACTTCCCAGATATCCACCAGGGATCTAACTCATCTTCTCATGCTAGGTTTCCGTGGGGTCTCAAGATTTATATTATTGCATAGCCATGAAAAAACTTTTTTGGCAGAAGATGAAAAAAGCAAAAAACAAGAGCAGCAAAAAATGATGGTTTCTATTGATTGACCAAAAAGATGAAGAGAGCAGTTCTAAATAGCCATTTATCCAACACGATGTGCCCCCTTTGACTTAGCCAGAAGCCCCTTATCGCTTCCACAGAAGAGAAAATCATGCATGTGGTTGCTTCTTGGCATAAAGAGGAGAGAAGAGCAAGGAAATTTCAGTCTAACACTGTTTCCTAAGTTTGTTTCATCTGGAAAGCACCAGTAGCAATTGTAGTCTAGATATATTTTATAACCAGAGAAGACTAATACATACGCCTTCGATCAGAGAGAGGGGAAGAGGGAGAGCATGACGGGCTGAAACATAAAATTTCCACAGCGCACACACAAAGAATCTGGAATCTCCTTATCATAATCAGACATTATCAGCATGAAACATCTGGATTCATTAACTTCTCTGTTCTAGAGCAAGTTAGTTTTTTAAAAAGCTAAACCCCATTAATTACATGAGAATCATTTTTGTGATGGAGCTCAAGGAACCAGTATGTAATACTCTTCAATTGATCTAATTAACGGCTAATATCTGCAAGGGTAGCATTCTAACTTCGATTTGCTCTAGAAAATTTAACTACAATAGCGACGAATAAAAGAAAATTGTGGTTAAAAAACCATAAAGACGGAAAACAGACGAGAAACGCTAACATTTACAATACAAGAAATCAAAAGCCTCTACTTTTAGGGGCATCTCTGCGCCAGGCCTGCCCGGGCGACCCATACGCTTGCCCTCCACTAGATTGATAAGCAGGATGGCCATGGGGAACAGGCGGAGGAGCCACCCAGGCGCCTTGCTGCAAAGAGGGAGCAAGATTTTGTTGACTATGCATCATATTCACTTGAGGCATGGCTGGAGATGTTCCCAATGGTGACATTGTCTGATGTGCCGTTTGCTGCGCCATGTGGGCTCTTAGAATAGGCTGCTGCACACCATGCACATGGGTTGACTGAGGGTGTGTACGATGATGTTGGGTTTCTTCAGGGTGCCACTCTGGCATATCGTCATCGTCATCGTCATCGTCATTCCATGGCTGCATTGGTGGAACATTAGTTTTAGGTTGGCCATATCTGTGTACAAGCTCCCTCAAATCTACGGGACGAGAAGGGGTTTGGTGATATGGTGAATTCAGAGGGGGCATTCCCGATCCCCTAGTAGGATTTTGGTTTGAAAACTGCGACCTTGATGCCATAGAGTTACTAGAAAAGTTAAACTCAGGTAAATCATCCTCATCCCGGCCAGCAGGAGGGCCAAACCCAGGAGGCACATCATCATCGTCTTCATCAGGTTGGGGGTTGGGATAGGCTCCGCTACGAGGAGGCAAGGGATGTTTTGATGCAATATTCACATTCATATTAGTGTCCTTTTCTTGGTGCTTCCTAGAAGTGAAGTGTTGTTGCTTTTTTGAGCTGTGCTTATGGTGTGATGCAGAGGTAGGTGATATTGTTGACGTTATTTGAGCTTTTCTCCATACAATAACACCAATTAGACCATTATCAACAGCATTAAGGGCCTCAAGTTGGTCCTTTGGGAGGACCTTAATGAGCCTTTCACGTGTCTTTAAATGAGGTGGGCATAAATAAAGTTCCACTCCATGAGCAGGCTCAGCAAAACCCACTCTCTCATCCAAAACATAGGAATCCGCCACCTGCAGCAGGCAATTTCAGCCACAACTTTACAATTGAGAAAACCAGCTGAAGAGTGATCAAAGGCAACAGAACTTTTCACGTTTCTTACCTCTCTAAGACTTTCCCTCTCACTTTCCGTGGACCCCTCCTTGCAAACGAAGTGCACAACCTGCAAGAGCAAGAGAATTTATTTAGCAACATGAGAAAGTAAAGGTGGCCTTTTCAAGTTGAGCTAGAATAAAAAAAGAAATACATAGATGCTCCCTATGGCATCAGATTTCATGGGCAAAGGGTGTGCCAGACACTGACAAAATTTAAACATGCTGTGGCTATGCCAAATTAAGTAGTTAATGAATCGAAAGATATTTTATGTTCCATCAATATATCCCGAGTACAAGAGTATCATGGATCTGCTATGATTTCTGGGAAGATCTCCTAACCAAGCAATGGCATCCGTTAAATGAACATTCCCGGATGATTTAGCATTTTTGCGCTCTTTCCTTTGGAAAGGGAAAGAAAAGCTTATCCCTGTTCGTTCGCATCCAGCAGGCAACAAATGAAAGCAACTATCTTATAAATAGTTTTACTGAGAAACGCTAAAAACTAAACTAGTTATTGTTTGCTTGAGACTTGAGAACCAACGGCAAGTGGCGTTTCACAGATTCTGCAACTTTCTTGCACATATTATTTGTTTGTCCCAGTAACTAACTTTATTCAGCAATTGAAAAATCAAATAATAGGAGGTAAAATTTTGGTTATTCCTTTATATAAACTTTTATCAAGCCATCCATTCAAAAAAATTCTTATTAAGATGTCGTTCACCACAAATGTAACGGCCAAATGCTGCAGAAACAGTTGAGTGGGATTAATAAGCATGGATAGAAAAATATCCCCCTTTTCTGAACAAAAGTAGCATAACTGAAATTTAGTACAGCAAAAAGAAACTTGAGATACCATAACAGCACGACTTCTGGACATCGGAAGCTCCTGGAGGAACTTCTCAAATGCATCAAGTCTGACTCTCCCTTTGACCTCAACGAAGCCAGACCACTCTTTTGCAGATGTTTTGTCACCACTGCAGCAAGAAAACCAGATCAGCAAAAAGTAACAAGCTTCACAATGACCACCACATAATTCATTAGAAACACTACCCAACCGGTGTAACGCATGCTTGGACAGCGGGAAATTACAAGTTTTATTTCATAAGTAGTGAGTAGTGACCCATAAAATACGATGAGAGACAATTTCAATGCTATATCTGTATCACAAGAAAAGTTTATTAGGCAACTGCATATATGCTATTAATGCTAGTTTACAAAAACACAAACCTTTTAAAGATGCCAATAACCGAGGCCATGATGGAAATACTCAGCTGAAGTAAGCCTTCCCAGACATGTTCCCCCTTGGATACACCAACAGAGGGTGTCGTTTCTGATTCTACATGAATGTTGACGGATTTCCCATTAGCTTCAGGTGATGTGTTAGTTACCTCCACATTATCAGATTTTTCTGCAGTGCTGCCAACAAGATCCTTCGCAGTTGCAGCAGGAGACTTAGCTTCTGACACATCCTGTGAGTCATCATTGTTAGAGCTGGGTGTTGCTTTTCCCGCATCCAAGGGTAAATTTTCAAATGGTGGTTCAGAATCAAGGGATTCCATGAATTCATCTAGAGAGACAATTGGAGGAAGAAAGTCTGCATCCTTCAATACATCATCCACCATAAGTCCTTGCATCAAATCAGTCCCTTCACTTGAAGGAATAGTAAGCGTATATGAACCCTTCTTCTCTTCTAAATTTCTCTTGTCGTCAGCAGCATTCACTTTGTCTTTCATTTGATCAGATTTGGAAGGCGGAGAGGCTTCCTTCTCTTCTGATTTTGGTGGCATCTGAGTAAATGAACTTGTCCCAACAGCAACCTCCATTGTGACACTATCTTGTTCAACTTCAACTTGAAACTCACCCTTGTGAGTTTTCTTCACCAAACGTCTGATATCAACATCTGAATCAGGCAAAACCACCATTTGAGCAAGCTCCTCTGCTTTTGCCATCCGCCATTCTGAAAGCTCCTTGGATGCAAGTTCCTCCGCGGTCATAGAGCAGAGCCTCCCTGGAGTAATCTCTCCTGACATAACTTTTTCTCTCAGCTCCGGATTACTACGATCCTTCAAATTGAACAATAGAGACCTGCCCTTCTCCTTGTACTTCTTGTTCACTCCTCCAAATAACTTGAAGAGTTCTGCTTCAATTTCAGAAGCCAAAAATTGGGGATCCTGGATTAGTTTTCCAATACCTTTGCTATGCTTCTGGCCTTGCTGTGTTTCAGCAGTTTCAATCTCCTTTTTCTCTGCCATCTCTGCATCAGGTTCCAATACCCAGGACAATCCATTTCCCTGCAACAAATCATCTTTTACAAAAAAGCTGTCACTAAATGAAACATCCTCATCACGGAAAATGACACTGGATTGTAATCCCTGTCCATCATGGTTTGAGGTCTGTGTTGAATAACCAGCATTTCCATTAGTGTTGGAAGTTTCCTGAGATGTGTTCGGGCCATCAGAATGGTTTTGGGTAAAAGAATCATCCCTTGTGGGCAAGGATTCCTTGGGCTCATCAGACATAGGGTCAACAGTACCAGCAGCACCAGCAGTTTGTACCATAGGTTGAGTCTCTTCGTGTTTCTGTGCTTGAGCACTTGCAGCCTCACCTTCAGAGTTCTTTCCAGAATTTAAAGTTTTATCCTTCTGTTGAGAAACCAGGGCCAGGGCATCTGCTAGTGATTGCCTTAGCTTGGACCTCACAGAATCAGACTCATTGCGAGCCCTTGAAAATGGCAGCATCTGTCCAGTTTGATT